CCCTCCCACTTCCCCTACCCCTTTGAACCTTTTCTTCCTATTTCAAATTATCAATTATTTGTTTTAATCATTTTAATCCTTATTTACATTTTCAGTTTCTCGCAGTAGAGAAACTATTCAGTATTTACACGTGCGTCCTATTTATTTCACTTAAGAATATGACCTCAATATGCATCCGTTTAGCTATAAATGTCTCTAATTTCTCATTCTTTATTGCTGAATAGTACTCCATTTTATTAAAAAAACACATCTTCTTTATCCAGTTTCTAGTTGATGGACACTTGGGCTGTTTCCAAGCTTTAGCTATTATAAACTATGGCACTATAAACATGGGTGCACATATATCGCTGTGGTATGAGTCTTTTAATTCTTTTGGGAAGATACCCAGCAGGGCAATAGGTGGGTTAAATGGGACTTCCAGTCCTAGTTCTTTGAGGTATCTCCATGCTGATTCTCACAGTGGTTGCACCAGTCTGCACTCCTACCAACAATGGAGAAGGGTCCTTTCTCCCCACATCCCTGCCAACATGTGTTATTAGTTGATTTCTTGATAGCAGCCATTCTTTCTGGGGTGAGGTGGAATCTCAAAGAACTTAGGACCAGAGGTCCCATTTGACACAGCTGTTCCCCTGCTGGATATCTTCACAAAAGAATTGAAAGAATCATACCACAGTGATATATATGCACCCATGTTTATAGTGGCACAGTTTGTAATAGCTAAAGCTTGGAAACAACCCAAGTCCCCATCAACTGGAAACCGGATAAAGAAGATGTGGATTTTTTTATATATATAAAATGGAGTACTACTCAAAATTCAGAACTTTAAAAGACATCTTTAAGCAAATGACAAGTAGTCCTTAACCAGAACATATTTATAATACATATAACCTACAACCAGAATATATAAAGAACTCTTACAGCTCATTAATAGACAACCCAATTAAAAAGTAGACATAAGAAGATGAAAAATAGCCAGTATAGCACAAGGAAAGGTGTGCAACACTAGAATCAGAAAAATACTGATCAGTACAATAACAAGATTGTATTATACACTCATTAGGGAGATTAAGTTAAAAGTTTTAAAAGAACAAATGTCAGCTTATGTGTGAACCAGGTGGAACTTTCTAATACTGCTAATGTGAATGTAAAATGATAAAACCATTTTGGAAAACAATTTAGAAATTTCTTGTATTACTATTAAGAACCAGCAGTTCTGTTCTTACATTTTTACTTTAGAGAAATGAAAACACGTGTTCACAATAGATTTGTACATACAGGTTGACTGTCCCTCATCTGAAATTCTTGGGACCAAGAATGTTTCAGATTTTGGGTTGAAATCCACTTGATCTGCAAAGAGGATAGCTACTACTGCTTTTATGGGGCGATTCCTGTCACATGGAGTATTGTTTTCCACCCTTTAAGTTTCAGCTTATGAGTTTCTTTTTAAATTAAGTGTGTTTCTTGTATGCAGCATATTGTTGGATCTTGCTTATTGACCCAATCTGCCAGTCAATTTTTTTGATTGGTGAATTCAGACTGTTAACATTGATAGTTATAACTGATACATAGTGATTTATCATTGTCATGACTTTTTCTTTTTGTTGGATTCTTCCCTTTTGTGTTTAATTTCTTGTCATGACTGATGGATTCATTCTGCCAGGCTTTCTGGGGTTGTGGTGTTGTGATCCTTGTTGTTTTTTCCTAGGATATTGTCTAAAATTTTTTGGAGTGCTGGTTTGGTATTCTTGAAGTTCCTAAGGTGCTCTTTGCCATGAAAGTATCTTATTTCTCCATCAATTTTGAAAGAGAGTTTTGCAGGGTACATCAAACTGGGTTGGAGGCTTTTTTCCTTTAGGGGTTGAAATACTACGCTCCAAGGTCTTCTTGCCTTGAGGGTTTGTGTTGAGAAGTCTGCTGTGATTCTGATGAGCTTTCCTTTGTATGTGATGATACTATATGATACTATATCTTGATTAAGGAAGTCATCATAAGTATGCAAATAGTTATTCCATATTGAACCCAGGTTACAATTAATTATCTTGGAAAATGAAACAGAAAAATAGGACAAAGAATTAGAGGTTATTAGAAGGTATTTGCTTTCATAAAATATATGATCTAGGTCATGTCTCTCAAACTTGTAACACATTTTCTTAGTTTGGGTAAAAGTCTCCACGTTCCCACATTCCAGTTGAAAAATAACTTCAGTGTTATGAGAAAATTATACTAACATCCCAAAGTATTTATAATTTTGTAAAACATACATATAGCTATATATTAATTTTAAATTGATGAAAATGAAAAAAGTTCTCAGTTTTATTAAATTAAATGTCATCTCTTGCTACAAATACTTTAAAGAACAAAAAATTCTCACAGAGTACAAAGCTTGTGAAAGGCCACTTGATGAAAATTTG